TGTACAAAGTACAACGTGGTTCCCATTGCCTTGATTCGTGCTGAGGAGTCAGCGATATTTATTACCCACATCGCTTTTGCACCATCGAAGCAAATTTCAACACAGGGAAAAAGCAAACTATGTCTTGGGGTTGTTTTGAAAATAGTGTCGAACTCATGAAGCCCCTGATAGGGCATGGAGGGCCACACTTTGAGGACTGCTGAACTTAGGTTATGCAAAGAGAAAACACGTGACTAGATTGGCCGTGGCGAAAAGACCAAGGCAAGCATCAGTATGTGCTAACAGTTAACTCACTTAGACAAAATATTAGATAGTAATAGAAAATAATAAATTGCTTAACATTTATGTGCAGTTAGAAACCGGAGCTTATTGACAAAACCTAATTGGAACAAAGATTTCTATAACTTTTCCATCATTTAATTATGGGAATGAAGAATCTTAATACCTTTAAAAAGTATATGTTAAAACTGGAGTAATGTTGATTGCATTTCAAAGCTGTGTGTTTTATGCTGATGATCTAATCTTGAGATGCCAGTCACATCATTGATGCATTTGGGTTTAGCTTTAAGATCTCGTTAACTGCTTTTTGGTACCCTATGAACACACGAAGCAAACCATCTTTCACCAGACAGCCAAAGGTAACAAAGGGATGGGAGGCAGTGAGAATCAATATAGTAAGAGTATTTTTAGGGACTGTTGATGGATTGCTGTATTTTGAGCTTAACTTCAAGTGCCAAATGCCCCAGAGCTGACTAAGATGAACTCACCATTTACTGAGAACTGTAGGCTGTCACGCACACAGAGGGCTCTGGGATGGGCAAGACGAGACCCACACATCGTTCCCTTGGCCGTCTGGGGAGGACTCTGGAGGGGTGTTTTTAGGAGCTTCATGCTGTATCTTGATGAGGACTTGGTACCACTCTAATTGCCAGAGCTGAGTACCATCCAGTGATGACTTCCCAGTCCTGGTAATGGGTAACTGTGAGATTTTAGGACAGCACCGTGACAGCAGCCAACCCGTTAATTCTCGAATCCGGAGGGATCTGGTACACCCACCGAGGCATTCAGGACTCCACGCCCTTTCCCAAGGCAGCCCCACCGAAGGTGGGAGCCACACTGAGCTGTGCTTCTGTCAGCAAGCTGAAAGCTGTGGGTCCCTGACACGGCTCTCAATTGCTAGCGGGTTCCTCTCACTGCACCTCATTTGCATCTGGGACATCAATTAGCATGTTTGTTGAGGCTAATTGAATGAAACTCAATCATAGCTCTTAATTGCTTGACTATGTGAAAAGAAATCACATTAATGCAGCTAATTAAGTGTACGGCAATAGATGCAACATAATTAGGAGGAAAATGTAAAAAACAAGGGATGGCAAAGGTGCAGGAGCGGGGTGGCAGGGGGACGCTGTGCTGGGTTATGGAGCTTCACGTGGTCGGGGACGGGTCCCTCTGCTCCAGCGCCTGCCTGCAAAAAATAATCCACGAGATGAGCACGGACAACTTGAGACGAAAAATGCAAATAGGTTTGCAATTACTACTTTTTCAAGCTGTTGAGGGGCAGGAGATAGCACCTCTGGGGGGCCTGGCTCTTGAGTGGGCCCCGGGGACTTGTTAAGTGCTGTTTAAAAGTACTTGGCTTTGAATTACCCTCATGCCTTGTTAAAGGGTTTTTTCCCCTTTTATCCTCGATCAGCATTTTCTGCAAGGAACACGGAGAGGGGTTGTAGCTGTAACGTTTGCATATCAAAATCAAGCTCGCTGGCTTTATTTCCCCCTGCACGGTCCCTACCTCGGACCATCAGGCTGCGCATCCCACTTCTGAGGAGACGACGTTGTTTAGTGGTTGTAGCTTTAATTCCTCAAGTACCAAGCTGGGGAGAGATGAAAAGGGTAGTTCTTTCAAAAACGGAAAACTCAGCGTTGTTTCTCTTGGGAGAAGCTAGGAGCCTCAGACTCACGTATCCACCTGTTTCTGAAAGACTTTTATGGATTAGGAAATGGATCTTGTAACATTTTTATAAATTTTAGCGGCTTGAAATTGAAGAGTTGCCAGACTTATATTCTGATTTTCTTAAGAATTGGTTCTTCTGCACTTTCAATGCCTATAACTCAGGCAGGAAAACAGATCCCCCAGCCCACGCTGAGTCAAAGATAAATGGGTTCTGTCGCCGCGTTCAAATCCAGAGAGCCAATACTTGGTACATTTCTATAATAATTTTAAATAAAATATCCCTGTTATTGTATGTTAAAACATGCCTATTAAAAAAGAGACCACGCTGAGGCTTAGTCACTCTCTGATTAGCCTCATTTTAGAGCCCATAAGCCATAAATGCTCAATTACACTCCTGTTATTGTATTTTAATTTGTTAAGAATTGGCATTAGAGAAAAAAGTTGTAGCAAGTTGATATTTTTAAAGGAGTAACTATGCAAGAAGGAATTCATTATTTACAAGCATTAACTTTGGTTTTGAAACTTGGGTTTGCGTATTTGGAGTAAATGTTAATGGAAGTAAATGAAAGATGCTTAAGAACAACCTTTTTTTTTAATAACCTTGACCCTTGGTCCTGTACTAACCAAAAGCCACTTCCTTCTTCCGTGTGCTTTTTCTTGGCCATCCCCGTGGTGAGCTTGGTCATGAGACTTCTACATCTCTTTCAGTCCGCTTTATCCTTTAGCCTAATTTAATGATAATAACTTTCTTTCCATCCTTTGTCCTCATCCTTTCAAAACCACAATTTTTTTCATAGTAGATTATATTTGTGGCAGGGGGCATCTTGCCTTTCAAGTGGAGTCTTTAGTCTGTTCCCAGCTGGACACAGCCCACCCCTTCTCCAAACCTGTGATGACCCTCCTCCTAGATGCCCGTGGCCGACCCCAGCAGATGTCCCTCCCTAAGCTGCCCTGGGAGATTAAATGCACAGCTGGGCAGCCCAGGGTGCATCAGCACCTCTGCTCCTGGCTTCCCCGGCTGACAGCATATGTGCCGGTGCGGATGCTTCTCTCTGGATGGTTTATCATTGCTGAGGAAGGCCCAGCCTCGCCCCTCCATGGAGGAGCTGATCTGAATTTGCCCCTACTTTGGTGCAGCTTCTGATCCTTTGTTTGTCTTCAGTCCCATGTTCCTCCTGATTCTAGCCTCAGCTTTTTGACCTTGAGCTCTGCACTAAGAATTGGCCATTTGAGGTCTGTCTTTAGGAAGTCACCCTGGACGCTGCGTCATCATCTCCTGGGCTGGTGCTTGGTGAACCTTCCAGGGTTCTGTAATCTCCATCACAAGGCCCCCCTTCACGTTATGGAGTTTCTCTTCCAGCCCTTCCTCCTGTATTGAGAATTCTCCCACTCCCTTTCCTGAGTCTGGGGTGGCTCCCATGCGGCCACAAGTCCAACTGCTTGGGTTTCAGGTGAGGTCTGACACTCAGCGCTGGCCCTCCCTCCTACAGACTCTGGAGGGAAGACAGTTCTCTCTGTCCCATACGGTCCCAGCGACCCATATGTGGGTTCTTCCCCCTGTGTTGGAACCTAGTACTTTGAGTTCCTTTTTGTGCCATAACTTCTATCAGCAAACTTCCTACTTGTGGATAAACCAGTGACTGCTTCTCAACCCCTTCACCTTATGGAATATGAACATTATCTTGCAATTAAAAGAAGCCACTGGAGTCCTTCTCTTGGCTTCCCTAGCACCTTCTGTGCCCTCTGAAGCTTCTGCCGTACGCCTGGACTGACTTTCCTCGTCCTGCAGGCTGAGGCCTCTGACCCGTGCACTTTGCCGGTAGACCTTCATCTAGTTCTCTCTCTGTATCTGTTGACTCTGTTGATTGGCAATTATAAGGAAACAGCTCGCTTTTCCAAACTCCCTGGGTTGCTTGCAGTCACACACTGGATTGTTTGGCAATTCTTCTAAAATTAGATTGACGTGAACTTTATTTGTAATCAATACAAATTTATTGTTTTTTTCCCTTTATATCCTAAAAGGAATCCACCAAGATTCTGCCAAGGAAGGAATCTGTTTATTTCATTTCCTGGTTAGTCTTAAAACACTTGAAATATTATTTACCGAAGAATGATTTAGATAGACTATATCCTTTCTTCATGTGTGATGTTGGTTTAGTGATATGTCTGCAGAGACAGCGGGGTTCATTGCCCCCCAAAAATGTATGAAAGGGTCAATAACTCCTCTAATTTGTCAAGAGGCCCCTCGCTCTGGCTCTCAGTTGTCTTCTCTTTCCCCACCCAACAGCTGATTCTTAAGTATTGTTTTCCTCCATATTGAATTAGGTGACGGCACAAAGAATTCCCTGTGTACCTAGACTTCCCTTTAGTTCCGTGATAACTGCTAGTCATTGACCTCCAAAGTGTAGACAAAAGCAAGATACTTTTTCTGAGTACAGTGAATCACTTGGAGAAACATAATGCTTGAGTACAAATAATGTGCTTTCTTTTTTAGCATCCAGCTCTTACGACCTCCATGTTTTTTCAGCACCGTACCACTGACCCCCCTCAAACATCTTCCTGAACAAAATGCTTGACCTCTTACTTAGAGTTTTCACCTGAGTTCCCACCAGACAACTTCAGTCTTACCTAGATGTCTAATGGTATTGCTCTCGGAGACAAAAAGGTTATTACAGAATAGTTCCTACTCCATGGAATTTTACCCAAAACTTACAGGAAGAGCCCAGATTCTTAATGTACCATCTAATATGCAGCAGCTCACAAAATAGGATTTCATGTCCGTACTGGTGTCTCATCCTCCTGGGTAGAAGGCATCGACTGTGTCTCCTGTATTTCCAGGGCCTGGGTTAGTTCAGGACACAGAGGCAGAGCTGATATCAGTGTAATGATGATGCCATCAGTACAAGACAGATCAAAACCTTATTTTTAAGCGCGTGCCACCATGGAAGGGTCATAGGATTACAACTCAGGATGTCTGATAGAACCTCTTGTCCTAGATTGTAAAAGGTCTTTCTTTTAATCTCTCTTGGATGTTTAACATTTTGAACAGGATTACATGCAGAATGTTCACGGCAAAGAGATTGATCTTCTGAGAACCACTGTGAAAGTCCCAGGGAAGAGGCCGCCCCGAGCCACATCGGCCTGCGTGCCCATCTCCAGCCCGAAAACCAACGGCCTGTCCAAGGACATGAGCAGCTTGCACATCTCACCAAATTCAGGTAAGCTCACAGCCGACATGCTGAAGAAATCCAGCACAATGGCAGCAATGGGTGGTCCTGGCTGGAGGACAGTGCTGAGGTTTTTGGAGTAAGTGGAGATTTTGACCATTAAGGTTGTAGACTAAGGTTTACAAGTCTCATCTCTTCTGTGGATGATTGTTTCTGCTACACCCTTGGTTTCCTGGACTGCCAACAAGCAAACTGTGGCACTTTGAGTCACAGCTGCACAAACCACTAGGCTTTCCCAGGGCTGGGCGGTTGAAAGTCACGTTTTACACATGATGGAGGTTTAAGGGCCTTCTAAAAAACATGAATTCATTGTTAAGGTGTCAAGGATTAGTATTAACTAATTTGTAGTGACTGTGTTTAGAAAAATGGAAAAGCCATTTGGAGCAAGATTTAAAGGAAACCCCTGGACTTGTATAAAAGTTGAGATTCTCTCAGTTTTCTCTTGTAACTGTCATGTGATTCTTTCACACAATTTTGGTTTTCTTTATTCTCTTTTAAGGGAGAATTTGTTTTTTGATCAGGATCAGAGAAAGTTAGTGTTTTCTCAGAGTCGATGTGTTGAGAAATTCCTGGCTTTGGTGTGCAATGCAAACCATTCAGAGTGTCGTGGTTTGTTTTTGTTTAAGAGTCCTGGCAAACTGTGCTGTGGCTTTTACCTTCCCATGATCGCTTATCAGAGAAAAGGTGGTAAGAACCGCTTTACGCCTTCCACCAACAAACTCAAACTCCTCCAACATATGAAATCCCTTCACAGATTTCAGTTGTTTCCTTTCCTGTCTCCAACCTACATCTGATCTTCTCAAAATAGATTTCTGTTCTGCAGTCATTCCTAGCATATGTTTCTGCCTCTTAAAGATGCTGCCTTTTTTCCTTTCTGAAATGTTAAATGTTTTTAAAGAGGAATGGTGCTGACCCCACAGTTCCATGGCATGAATGACATTGTTTGGCAAAAGGAGGGTAAGAAAAAGGGGACAGAATTTGGGGTCCAGCAGCCTGGGTTCTACTGCCCGGTGCTGCATGGTGTTGAGCAAGTAACTGAACCATGTTTTACATTAGGCTGATCTTGCCTGGCCCTGCCCCCATCACAGAGGTGTGACGGCACGTGCTGTGGAAACTCATGAAGCACAATACAAACATCAGCTGTTGTGACTAATCAAAATAAAACTGGCCTTTCTGATAACAGAGACATTAGTTCATTCTAGAAAGGTGATACAGTTACTTTATGTGGTCTCATGACATGCTGACCCTCCTTCCAAGTGATGCATGAGTTTTCCTTTTCTAGTTGGTGTGCTAACTCCATGGGATGGGAAGAGAGAAAAGCGCCCAAGAAAAAATATTTTTCTATACTGAATAAAAAGCTCATATCTTCATTAATTTATTTATTTGTTCAAAAAGTACTTGCTGAGCACCTGTTCTGTGCTAGGAACTGTGCATTCTGTGGATCCAGAATCTTTGACCTCCAGAACTTCTATGCGAGGCAGTCACCCTATAACCAACTTTCCACTTCCCCTTCTAACCATTGGGGCACATCTATCCATTTATTTGTTCAAGTCAGCAAGCATGTATGAAGTTTCTAATGTGTGCCAGTCACTGTCCTGAGCTCTGGGGGTACAGAAAAATGAGGCATAATCCCTATGCTCTGGAATCTCACCCTCTGGGAGGTGGGAAAGATGAGCAGATGAGCCAGTGCAGTGCAGCAGCTTATAGGAGGTGTGAAGGCCCAGGGGTGATGTGCTCGGCTTCACCCCAGGAGGTGGGGCAAGGCTTCAGGGCTTGAAGGATGCCTGTGTGGGGTGTGAAGAAAAGGTGGGAACTTGCCAGGCACATAGGATGAGGGAAGAGTCCTGACGATTTGAGGAAGTGTCGGCTAATACGTAAGATTTGGAGTTTGAAATGTCATCTTGGGATTTGTGTTCTTTGGGGCTTAACTGCCACTTACTGTCCTAAGGAAAATGTAATGTTTGATAACAAATAAAAAATACAAAAGCCATATGAACTTTATCATATCCCCAGAGGAGGTTATGTCATCGGCCTCGGCTAGGGATTGAGTTTTCAATGCCCAGTTGCTTTCTCTTTAAGATTCTTGCTATTGGGTGAATGGGAAGATTTGGGTCACGATTGAAATCCCTTTTCCATGGTCACACCCGTGGTCGGTTTATTACAGCACATCCTTTCAACCCTAAGCTGGGTAAATCCCCATTCAAGGAGCCTGGTAGATGTTTCATCTTCTTTGGATCACAAGTAGGGACTTGGAAGTGGGAATATGATGTCCGCAGGAGCACAGCACCAGTGTGCTGTGGAAAGTCCCTCATGGTCACAGCAGTGCTCAGGGATGTGGTGCCCTCAGCTAAGCCTGTGGGCAACGTCCTTGGCTGTTATCACCCAGAGCTCTACCCAGTTGTTCATAGAACTCTCTCACGTGAAGAATTCCAACCCAGCAAATTTAATTTGAAGTAAATAGATGCTACTTTTAAGTGATGGACTTTTAGCTAAAGATAGGTATTAGTTATTTTAGAGCTAACTTGCCGAAGAACTTAACACACTACTTAACCTCATCTTTCATTCTCAACTCATTTGAATTCTGCCATTTTGTTTTAGACCTCTGGATTAACTGGGCATCTTTTGTTTCTTTTTAGCTTTTTTCTTTTTTATTTGTTTTCTATCTCCATGTTATGAATTAGATCAATGTTATGTGCCTTCCCTTCTAGTCATTTTTTTCATTCACATAGACCTGATACACACTTGTACTGAAATCTTTGTGTGTAACTTATTAGTGTCTTAGCATAAAAGTCCATAGGCAAAGTGACTCAGCCAATGGATATAAACACTTACAAGATTCTCCGTATATATTTCCAGGTTCATTTCTAGAAAGGTTTTATATAAAATACCCTTCTGTCCATAAAGTGAGTGCTCATTTCACGTCTACACATTTTTAGAATCTATGCTAATATTATAAGCAATAAAAATATCTCGTGTTTTGTTTATTTGGATTTCTTCAGTTAGTAGTGAGGTTGAACAGCTCATGTTTATGGGTTTTGTGTGTTTCTTATTTGTGATTGTGTAGATGTATCTTTTGTCCATTGTTGCACTAGGTGCTTGTCTTTTGCTTATTGACATGTAAGAACTCTGTATATTAAGGATAACAACACTTTGTAATATATTTGGCAGCTATTTCCCCAGTTTACTATTTGCTTTTTGAATTTTATAGTCTTATTTACATACAGAGTTTCCCCCTCTTTAGTATGTAATCAAGTCATAAGACTTGTACTTCTGTAGTTTCTACTTTAGATATTTAGAAAGCCTTTGATAATCCTGAAATAAGATCATAATTCATATATATGTATTTCAGAGTTTTATAATTTTATTGTTGTTCCTTTTCCCCTTTTTTATAATTAACCTCTAATCCACCTTTAATTTGTTTGAATCTATTATATATAATAGGAAATCTAGTTAAACTTTTTATTCAAATATATAACTAATTGTTTTTTCTCTCTTTGTTATTTCCTTTTCCTGTTGATTCTATTTGCCACCTTTCTTGCACAACTAACTCATTTAATCAAATTAGCTATGTTTCTGGGCTTGAAATTTTATTCCATTGACCTACTTTCTCCGCATTGTGTGGATTTACCACATTGTCTTAGATTCATGGCTCAATTTATATCTGGTGATGTAACGTATAACATGGTTTCATATTACTCTTTTATCTTATAGTGTTTCTTGGTTATTGCCACCATTTATTTTTTCCAGTAAACTTCAGAATAACTTGAAAACTTTCTCTTCCCCCCTAAAAATAATCTCACTGTGACTCTAACTGGCATTGCTGTTAATCTATGAATTAATTGTGGAGGAACTGACAACTATATTGAGTTTATCATAGAACACAATTCTTTCCCAGTTTATTCAGACTTATTATATACCCCTCAGTAAAGTTTTAACACTTTTTTCCATTTAGATCTTGTATGTGTCCTGTTAATCCATTCTATTACTTTATAGTTTTTGGTGAAATGTGAAGCTGATACTTGGTGGGGTGAGGGGTTGTCTATTCTATCATCTAATTGGTAAGAAATAAGAAAGATCCTAATTTTTGTATTTTTTTATATCCGGCCATCTTACTGAACTCTTCCTCAGTTGGAATAATTATCCAGATGTTTCTCTTAGTTTTCTAGTGTGCAGTCATAATGCATTCCATGTTTCAAACATTATGATGCCTAACTGTATGTCAATGTTGACTTTTAGTTTCTCCCAACCAGTTTAATGATTTGGATACCTTATTGCCTTGCCTCCTGTACCATTCACTTACCATCATTATTGAGTCTGCTGCATGCCCAGCCCTGATGAGTGCTCCGGAGATTCAGGGGGCCCTCCCTCCAAGGGCTTACACTCCAGTGGGGGGTGGAAGAATCAGAAGATAAACACACAAGCAAGACCACTGAAGCTGGTGATAATTGCTAAAGGGTCTAAAAGGGGCAATTGGTTAGAAGATTACTTGCAGGAGATGGTGGTCTTATGTTATTCCTAGTATCGGGGAGTGGTTTGCCAGTATTGGAATGCTGACTACTTTCAAACATTAAAATGCTAGAAATGTGATAATCTTAATACCGAGTTTCGCCAGGGCCTTGGGGAAGAGGGGGAAGAACACATTGTCATGCCTGGTACTGCATACCTGCATACTGATAACCCAGCCTGGGTCTCATTTTGGGGCTGGCGAGTTAACCAGAGCAGAAGAGCTGCAGTGAAGATGGGGTGGCTGCCAGCTCCATTGGGCACCTGTGGGATGCAGGCACTGCAGGCTGAGGGACATGTTCAGGAAGAGTTGACCAGTGACATCCCCACCACCAACCCCACTGGGAAAGTAAGCAGCATGCCTGGGGAAGATACCCTGATGTGGATGCTCATGCTTGCAAGAGAAGGAAGCAGATTGGAAAACTCAGACCTCTGCGTAGTCCCGGGGATACATAAATGAATGGCAAGGAAGGGCAGCTCTGACCATG